GGGACACGTGGGGGGGGGGGGGGGGGGGGGGGGGGGTCAGGGTTGGCGTAACAGGTTGGATGGTACTGATTGTCTGAGAGTGTTGGGTCAGCCCTCTGCCCAAATCACCCAGAGCGTCCCCCATAGCTTGAAATGAACAATTTTCTTAAACCAATAATTTTATTTCTCAATGTAATGAGCTATAATTGTCTTTACAGTTTTTATTTCCCCAGTTACTGGCATCCCGTCTGGGTTGCACCTCGCCCCCCCCCCCCCAGAGGATGGATGGATTTCTCCTCTTTCCACGCCGCATGAAGTTTTCACTCTTCTTCTCTCGCATTCGGCCTCCATTCTTCACCTGCACAGGTGTCCATCTCCCCAGCGACCGGCAGAGGTGGGAGGGGCACCAGCTGTGGCTATTTCGATGCTAATGAGTCCTGGCGTGTCGGTGAGTCTCCAAGAGGGTGGGGGGGGGGGGGCGGGGAGGGTTATGAGAGGGGGAGGCGCTCCCATGGGAACCAGGCTAATTAAGAGCAAGTAATTAAGAGCATCCCCCCGAGCTTTCCAGAAAAGGACAGGGGGCGGCGGAGGGGGGCAGGGGGGGTAGGTGGTGACTGAAGCCCGTATGACGCAGCAGGGAGATGAACCCTTTCATCCTCCCATATCTGTCAATGCGGCGAAAATGCAGATCAGCGACTCGCTATTCGTCTGCGTGGACGGATGTTTGCTGAAACGAGCGTCTCACTCGAGCATGACGGCCTTTAACCGCTGCGCCACCTGCTGTCCGACACAGTGCTTCCTCTTGTAATTCCCAGGGGGATGCAGATTTCTGTCTCTTCCTCTAATACTGCTTTGCATTTGCGAAACACGTTCTAGATGAGTTTTTGTGCTTTGCTCAAGGGTACAAGAGCGAGGCCCCCTGCTGGGAGCTACTGTCCGGGTATCCTACCCATGAGTCATGACTGTAGGATATGACTGAGAACGGGATGAGCAGAAGGACCCCCTCCTCAGGCCCCCTGCCGCAGCCCGAGATCATTACACCAGCGGTGCTGCACACTTAAGTTCCGGATCTGTACCATGACATCAGTTCGACGCTCTGACTAAGATTTTTTAAGGGGGGAGCATAAGAGGAGCCATAATTCATACAGAGGGGCCGACCTTGTCATTAGCCAATGATATGATTTTCTTTGGTGAGTGACAGGGGAGGGGCCATTCTAGGGGCCAATCAGCTTTCAGCCAGGGCAAGTGTCCCTGTGGTCCCGCCTCTGCATACACCCCTGCGAGAGCATGACAACTGCCATTCAAGGGCAATTCCGAGGTGTTGGGTTTGGTGACCATGTGTATGCCATGCCAACGGGAAGCTCTAGGGGGCGCCCAAGCTGATCTGTGCCCCCGTATGACCTTCGGAGGAAGCTGCACATCGCAGGCACTGCCAGCTGTGGCTCCCCTCCTCCAACATCATGCTCCACCCCCTAGACCCGCGTGCTGCTTTCTGGGAAGACACCTCCAGCCCCCTTAAAGCAAGCTGTCCGTCATTCCGAAGGCAGGACATCCATCAAATGCCAGGTGCAGGGCCATCTGTCAGCGCCGTAGTGTCTGCACCGCGCCCCTGCCGTTCCCCCGCTGTCCAGGCAGGGTAGGGCGGTGGATACCCCCACCCCCCACCCCCCGGGCCTGGAGCCCCATTAATTATGACATTCGAGTCGCCTGGGCTGGATGGGAACCAGTAGTATACCTCTGATCAGACGTGGTCGAGGCTGTCTTCCTGCTGGGTGTTGATGGTCTTCCTTTTGGGTGGAGGCCATCTTCCAGCTGGGTGGACCCGGAACACCCAGATGAGTCAGCTCCCCCTAGTGGTGGTGGTGCTGAATCGCCTCCCTAGCACACCAGACCAGACCAAACCATCCAGGCCTATGGTCTCTACTCTCTGAATAGGACGGTGAGCTCAGGCACACTGAGAGCAGTGGGGGTGTGATATTTGCCGGTGGCGGTGCTCACCTGTCGCGTTAAGCGTCATTACTCAAACCTGAACACGCTCAACAGGCCTACGGTGCTGTTAATTATAATCTGGAGAGTCTTCTTCCCTCCCCCCCACTCACAACCTCATTCACACTCATCCTTGCTCCCCCCCCCCCCCTTTCCTAGCTAAGACTATTAATCACACACACACACACACACACACACACGCTGGACACCAGGAAAGTGAGGGGTGTGCTAATACACCTTGTTCCCTCCGCATGGAGCCATCATCACCATGGCGACGCCCCGCCCGCGTCTCACGTCAGTGCCCCCATGCTGGGGTGCGGATCCGACCCGAAAGGGCATTGTAGAACGGATGTCTCCGCAGGACACTTCTGGAATCTTCCGCAAATCGTGGACCCTGTGTAGGTGTAAAACGCAGCATGTCGGCTTGCCTGGAACACAGGTGTCACGTCCTCGCTTCCGGAACTTTCCGCTCATGCATCCAGACTGACCCATAGAATCTGTGAGCGACGGGGGGGGGAGCGACAGGGGGGGAGGCACTGTGATGGCCATTAAGCTTTCAGCTGGGGCCAATTCCGCTTTGGCTCCGCCCCTGTATCACCCATCCAGCTGGTGTTTGACCTTTGACACAGTGTCTAGCTGCCCGTACCTATATGTAAGAACTTAAGAGTGTTTATGAAATGAGACCTGGTAGTATAACGACGCGGCGCCGACCTGAACGGACTTGTGTCTGTGTCTCCGGGAACAATCTGGAGAGCTTTGCTGCTTCTCCCGGTGAGAAATGGCAGCCGAGGTAACAATGGTCCGGCCGCCCGGGCTAATTAAAGGAGCCGGGTGTCTCTCGCGCTCCGGTGAAAACGACGCAAGGTGCCCGTCTCGGAGGCGGACGTGCCGCTATGCCGGGGGGGGTGGGGGAGCGAGCGAGTGCCAGCCCCCTGCCATCCGAAAGTGGCCAGCAGCTGGATGGGTATTTTATTTCATTTTTCCCTGCCACTCGCCTCCCCGACATGATTTATCGCCGGCCGGCTTGCAGAAGAACCCCCAGGATCCCGCCGCGCCGCAGTGGGGGCCTCAAGGTCGCCTCTCTGCTTTCCTCCGCTCCCACCCCTGAGGGGTGGCCTCGGGCCCTCAGCTCGTGACTGAGATTAATTACCAAACGCTGTGGCCGCCTCACTTCCAGGGCACCGCACACACATTTCAGTGGTGCCCCAGATCCCCCCCCCCCCCCCAGCCCTTTGGGTTAAAGTTTTCCCCCCCCCCCCATTTGATGAGAGGCCACGGTGACACTACGACCCGTGACTAAGCCATCAGTCATCGCGTGTGAGCTCATCCCGGCAA